GTCACTCAGAGGGACGAGTCACAGGGCTGTGGGTTACAGCCAAAACATTATCCTGTTCACTCCCCTCAGCAGTGGTTATTATTTACAGTCGCAGTCAGACTTCATATGAGGGACATGAATGTGTGCCTCAAACTACTATAAAAATAATCTAATTAGATTAATTTACAGGGAACACTGTAAATGTTTTAAATTTGTCAGTGCGCCATGATTACTGTAATTATGATGATTGTAATAGTTACCCTTTTAACTATGCAGCCCTTTGTTGCCAGGATTTATGAAGCAGTGGATACTCCTTTGAACTCAGATTTCACGTCGTAAAACTATGTCTGGCCACTTTATTCTGAGCATTTTAATTTGTTCACATTATCTCTTGGCGTAATGGCCACAGATCGGGGACAGTTCATATTAAAGAAAGTGTGTTTTGATTACAACAAATATGTATTCAAATGGTTCGAAGAAAGTGTTTTACTGTAACCAAACAGTTTTAGATATTCTTTGTTTCTTGTTTTGTTTTGTTTTTTAGTTAAAAAGGAAATCTGTATTGACCAGCAGTGGTTGAGTGAGAAGGGTTGAGTTGCCAGTGTTGGGAATAAAGTAATCGTGCCATCTGGTACCCATCACTGGGCCACAGCGACATAAAGGACCGTTCGTGTTTGTGCTGTTGTGGTATTTTTGGGCAGCTTTGTCATAGCTACATGCTGCTTCCCAGAATCCAGTGAGGATTACACTGCCTAAGAGGTAATTAAATTGCCACTGCCCTTGGTTTTATTTGTAATGAAATGTGCAAACAAAACAAGAGGGAAAGAAATGGAGGCTTTGTGCAAAACACTGACTGATGGATCGAAGCGAATGCAGAATGCTACATTTCATTATTGTGAACGTTTGTCCAGCTGGTGGATCAGGACCTCCCTTGTGCATTAAGTTCAGGGAGATGTTCTTTCCTGTGATTCTGGGGTAAGAGCAAGATTGACATGAACAGGCAGAGTTAAAGCTTGAATTTTTCTTTGTTTTTTTCTGTAGCTTAGTCATGGATGACAAAGGTAATCTGCGCCTTCATTGAACCCAGAAGGAGCACTTATGGTGTTATCTTTCTAGGTTTGTACTCGAAACAGTGTTTTCTTTGCTTGTACGTGGTGACTATATGATGTAAGCTCAATATTCTTGCTCAGTGTTCAGTCACTGGGGCACACCTAAGCCATATGCTATGATTAGAGGTAAAGGCAGGGTCAGGAGTGAATACTTGAGGTCTCAAAGAAAAAGACAAATGTTGCATTTGCACCCCCATACTAATCCCAAAGCTCCTCCGTGTAACATTTATTTCTCCGATGGATAAGAGCTCACCCTCCAATGCTGCATTGCTCTCATTGCTGAACTGTCTGCTAATGTCTATGTGCCTCGATCTGTGTACACATCACATTGAAGCCACGTCTTTCACCTGCCCCGCTGGGCATAAATCACCTGCACAGCCATGGTACACCCACACAGGTGCTGTCACTTTGCTTCTCTGCACCGTGTGAGCCTCTACAGACCACGTTTGACTGACACGCCCCCGACTGTACTGTTCACTTCTGTCGAGACAAAACGTACTCCCGCCAACCTGTAATGAGCTCTAATCTGCCAGAATAACCGAGAACACCTGTGTGGGTGCACAGAGCCCTTAACTGTAATTTGAGTTTTGCATTTTTGTTTTTCTCCAGTCTTGTCTGTTTAGTTAGTGACAGCTCCATTTACAACCGCCTTTCTGTAATGTGCCTAAATATGGAGAGGAAGAGTATTCATCTTAATTTTGCCTTTCATATGAAACATATTCAAGCCTGAAAAGTAAATAAAATACTTATTACTTATACATATTTGTTAGCCTTTCTTTTTTTAAATGTGCTGGTGTGACTCAGTGAGGTTAATTCTTTTCAGTTCCAAGACCAAAATGTAACTGCAACAGGTGTCACTAACTACACTACGCCACAGGAAATCTGTACTGTAGTTTCAATATGAGAATGTGTGAACAGCAGCCTGAAAGTGACCAAAGTGATGCTGTGCTGAAAGTTTATTATCAATACCTTAAACCCAACGATCTGAAGGCAATTCTACTGTAAAAGAAACATAAGTACATTATTGGAAAACAGGGCAAAAGGCCACGTTGTGGTAGATACACCAGGGGGGCGACCGTGGCTCAGGGGGTTGGGAATCGCATCTGTAACCGGAAGGTCGCCGATTCGATCCCTGGGCTCTCTGTTCTGGTCGTTGTGTCCTTGGGCAAGACACTTTACCCTACTTGCCTACTGGTGTTGGCCAGAGGGGCGATATGGCAGCCTGGCTTCTGTCAGTCTGCCCCAGGACAGCTGTGGCTACAACTGTAGCTGCCTCCACCAGTGTGTGAATGTGAGAGTGAATGAATAGTGGTATTGTAAAGCGCTTTGGGTGCCTTGAAAAGCGCTATATAAATCCAATCCATTATTACTCGTATTGAGTTAGACTTGCGTTCTTGCTAAACTGGTGTAATTCTTTGTGGGAAAATTATTGGGTTGAGAGCTGGCGCCTGATTTCAGTACACTGAAGTCATTGTCATGTTCAAGAAGCTTTGTGATATGGCGCATTATCAGCCATCAGAAGCCATTGGAAGATCTGGGATAGACCGCGGCAATACTTGGGCTGTGGCACTGAACTCGGTAATAACGGACCCAAAGTGTGACAAGACTACATCCCTCACACCATTCATTACATCATCACTCCCAACCTGAACCTTTGATAAAAGGGAGGATGGAGTCATGTGCGTATTGTAGCCCCAGTTTCCTAATCTTAGCTCAGAGGATTGGCACCCAGTGTGGTCTTCTGCCGCCCAAAGATGCTCTTCCCCATACCCTCGTTGTAACAAGTGGTTACTTTTGTGGCTGTTGCCTCCCACTCAAAGCAGTCGAACCATTCTCCTCTGGCACCAAAAGGCATTTTCACCCAACTGCTGCTCTGGATATTCTTTTTCTGACCCTAGACATGGTTGTACAGAGAAAGAAAAAAAAATCACAGTAAATCAGCAGTTTTTCATATACTCAGACTAGCCAGCGGGTGTCCACCCATATGGAAAAGATATATATAAATCTTATAAAGTTTGTATCTGTCTTGTGTGAAACTTGTGTGAAAAGCATACAAGAGTGAAAACACATAAGATCCCTTGAAAAATTATATAATGAAAGTTGTATGTTTTGGATACTTACTAAAACAATGTATGAAAGTAATGAGAAAGTGGCCACTTTCAGGAGTAAATCATGTAATCCTTATATGATTTACTCATGAAAGTGGCCACTTTCAGGAGTAATCACATATAAGTTTTTACTATTTCTTTTCCATATGGGCAACTCCAGTCCTCAAGAACTACGGTCCTGGAGCTTTTAGATGCATCCCTACTAAGACACACCTGAATCAAATAAATGGATTTTTTATCAGGCCTTTGCCAAACGTGATGGCATGCTGAAGAGGTAATCCAACCATTTGATTCAACTGTGTTGCAGTAGGGATGCATCTAAAAGCTGCAGGACAGTAGCTCTTGAGGACTGGAGTTGGACACCCCTAAACTAGCCCATACAACACACTACTTTTAAAGTCACTTAAAGTCAGTTTGAACCCAAGCATGTCATCTTGACCATGTTTACATTGACTGATTAAAGATTTGTGTTAATGAGCAATTACAACAGTACCTAAAAAAAGTGGCTGAGTGTTTGCAACAAAACTAGCTCGACAGGGACTTAAAATTACTTATGAGGTAAATCTTTCATCATAAGGCCTCAGTGTTCTTATTTGAGGTTTAGTCCTCTTAATTTGCCTCAGTGCTGTAAGCCATGTAGAAAACTTTACTTATGAACAGACACACTGAGCCACAGCTTTCTGACATTGCTTTTATTCTGAAATGCCATCTGTAAAAATTATACATCAAGCCTATGGAACTCTGGTAGTTCACAGTTTGTTTACAGTGTGATTTATTTCATAACAAAGTCTCATAAAAACAAATATACGTACATATCCGATAGGTAAAGAAGCACTTGATGCTACAACACAAACCGTATGTCATGTAGTCTAATATACTGTGTCACTTTTTTGTTTGTTTGTTTTAGACCCTAAAGGGTGCTTGCCCTCTTTGGATGAAACAATCCCCGATGTCGTCCCACGCTGAGCAATTTCATGTTAAATGAAAAGTATGTACAGATACGAAAAGTGTGAACAAAAACATGTTCCAAAATAACCTCGGGTTGAATGAGCGTCAGTGCTGCTTTTCACATTTGTTGCTGTGAACAGGGCAGCTAGCACATTTCTAAAATAAACTGCAAGCATGAAATCAGAGTTTGTGATGCAGGAAAAAAAAAAAGCAGCATGAAGACGGCACAATGGGAAAATAAGGTTGATTTGATTTACGATTAAGGCCTAGGCAAGCACCCTGCAGCAAAACTGCAGTTTTTCGTACCCCAAAAAAAACAAACAATGAACAGTCTCAACGCTTCACTGAATCGTGTCTCAGCTTAGTCGATAAGAGTCCAAACCCAACCCCCACCTGATCAACATCTGCCAAGTTTGCAGTCTCAAACACACTTTTTTCTCCCTCTTCTTCTGCTTCCACACATCCACCCCTCTCTCTTTTTTTCCTTCCCACCCCTTCCTTTACCCCCATCACAGCAGGCAGTTGGAAAAAACATGGCAGCAAAACGCTGTCAGCCTGAACGCCTACACTGCCACCTCCACTCCTGCACCTCAGTGTCTACTTTCTCCTGAAGGGAAAATGGCGGAGGGGAGAATAGTGGAGAGTTGTAGTGGAGATCTAGACAAAACTGGAGAAGGAGAGAAGGGAGTGGGCGGCTGGGTGGGTGGATTTTGGTGGGGGCGGGGGGGCTGCTATAGCGTCCATCTCATGTAGGCAGTTTGGGGGATGTGGGGTGTCATGCCCACCTCGAGGGGTGTAAGCGGTAAGGAGAGACAGAGAGAGGGAGAGAT